CACCCCTAGGACTATTCAAAGGCCAGACAAGAGACCCTTGGCCTCAGTACTTATGAGAACATGTTTTTAAAGCCTCAACCCCTAAAATCCCTTCTCATAACAGCCCTATCCCCCACTGAGAGAGAGGCGGCCTCTTGCCCAACACATGGAAAATCACACATCACTCCAGAGGCCGGCAGAGAAACCCCTCCCTAGAGCAGGTGCTTCTCCCTCTGTCACTTCCACCAGGGCTGAGGCAGCCCTCAGGATGCTGCCCAAGGCGGAGCACACAGTTATCCAGAACAAGCCTGGGAAAGTTCAAATGCCTGGCACAATCAAAGCAAAATTCCTGCCATTTCCAACTACTTATTTATGAGGACAAGGCTTCTTAATACTTTGAGCTAAAAATAAAAATAGTATTGATGTAGAGTCTCGTCTTACTCTGGATGAAAGCACGACTTATCAAAAGATAACTGGTACTCGAAATCCATCTTATTAAGAGCTAAATTTTAATAAAATGTTATGTTTTAGTCAACATTGTACTAGTAATTTTTTAAACACAATCTATAAAAACTTACAAATTTAGCACCCTAGAGCCTAGAAAGTATAAAAGTTAAAAGTTTCCAGTAATACACCTTTTTTTGTTGCAAATACATGATAGGGAGAATAGCAGATTCTTTTTTTTTTTTTTTTTTTGATTGAGCAGACTTGAGTTTATTACTGATAGCAGATTCTTAAACACAGACATATGTTACTACGCTGGGATAAAATGCTCTGGGGAAAGTAAATATAAATGTGAACTCAAGTAGAAAAAGAGTAAAATTCCTGTGAAAGAAAAACTTGCCCATGAAATTCTTCATGGGAGGTGGGAGAGATGATATTATCATGAAATATTTGAGAGAGCAGTGCGACAAATTTTTTTTTTTTGCAGTTTTTGGCCGAGGCTGGGTTTGAACCCTCCACCTCTGGTATATGGGGCTGGCACCCTCCTCCTTTGAGCCACAGGCACCACCCCTAGTGCAATAATTTTTAAATGACAGACTTAGGGTGGCACACACCATGGTTTGCAACTGGTTAGAGTTGTATGAAACTACAGATGCCACCCTGTAAGGGGGTGCGCACTTGACCCCGTACTTCCCCAGGGCATATGAGGTCACTGCTTTGCGCTGACCCTAATGAAGCAGGAAGAGCACCAGGTGAGCCCCTAGCCACATCCACTGCCCACCTTCAGACAGACACACACACAACCCACACTCACAGTCAAGATGTAGGCTCACAGGGCAAGTAGGAAGAGTTTACCAGCAAGACGCAAAGTCACACACTCTGCAGACCACACCTCACGCTTCACACCCCAAAGAAAAAAGTCCTCTGTGTCAAGGGCCCAAAGACCCTAGGAACACCAAGAACTCACAGTGTCAGCATCGTCTTAAATGACAAGCAGGAGGCTTGGCGCCTGTGGCTCAA